TTGGCAAGCTGCCCAAAATTTACCTTTTTAGGCCCGAACATGACATCAGGTCCTGGTCGAAACGTACTGCACACCTCTTGGCATCTCACTTGTGACGCTCATAAGCTATCTGCGTAAGGGTTATATACCTGGGTGATGCTGGTAGGACACAAGACAAAATGGAATCTATAGTATTCCCCCCCCCCCGTTACTAAGGCTTGATAAGGAAGCTTATCTCAAAACCCACATGCTTGGTATCAAGCATGTGGGCTACGCGATCTGGCACGACCTCTGGAGGAATGGTCGCAATCGCCCTAAGCCGCGTTGCGGTCGTGGCATTCACATGAGGCCACCGGGGAAGAAGGCATGTTGCGCTGGTGAGGTTTCGACTGAAGATGGTGCTGCGAGTGAAGGTGAGACCGTCGGCGATGATGAAGGCAGTAGCGATGGTGACACCACGCCCGAGTAGACCATGATGTGCAATCAGCTGCTAGTGTTTGTTATGCACTACTTTTGCACTTCGATACAAGACGTTCGCAGTATTATTTGCACTCGATTTAGCTAAAGAAAGACTCTCTTTGTAAAAAAAGGCCAAATCATTTTGCTCTATATCTAGCAGCATGCAGCAAAGACCACCTCGATAGGAAGCGTGTGGTCACATGGACAGTGGTAAAGGGTGGCTTTGTACTGAGAGGCGGATATGGTTCATTTTTACCACATACAAACTCCTTGTTATCACTAGTCTTTAACATGCTTGATATCAAGTATGAGGTTAGGGGGGTGCATTTACATGTTGCTTTCGTACCGGGGGGGGGGTAATACTAGTAATATTTTAACAATACCTTCAAATACTATCAGAAGAAATATTAGTAGGGTCGGTACATGTACCGGTAGTCAAATTTCCTTGCCGTGTTTCACTACCGACACGCCATACCAAAATTTATAGGATGGTCCGGATGGCCATACTGGACCTATGTATTTTACACAGTTTATCACAGATATGTACGAGGTTTAGGGGAGGACATACCTGATGTGAAATGACGCAAAATGCCAAAGAATGACCAAGCAGACTGATTTATAGACGGCAGGAAATGGCTTGAAACGACCTTTGGGCTGAGAAAATCACAATTTTGTTTTTCTATGCATTTTTGGCATGAGAGTCACGTGCTCATGAGCTAGCAAATTTAACAATGAGGCAGAATCACCACGATCATCCTGATAATTTTGCATCTGCCCGGTAAATAAAAATTTCGAAAGCCAGTTGTCAGAGCCACTATTGCTTATTGGTTATTTTTTCTGCCAGTGAATCGTGCCACGTGTATTTGCGTTAGAATATAGGTATCGTATGGTTTGCAGCCTCTCACCTTCAGTCAATCCGTCGCCGCCAGCTCACGTTGACAGTCAGTCTTACTTTTTCAACGCAACTACGCTGATCTCCCGTATGGGCTGCACGGTCTTCCAAGCCTCCAGGTCGCCTCTGATCCCCCCCCCTCTTTCAATGGTGTAGCTCAGCTGGGAGAGCGCAAGGCTTCGGCCTTGAAGATGCCTGTTCAAATCGGGCCATCGTCATTGCTTATGCTTGGGCGAAGATTAAGTTTCATGGACAGCTCAGATCAGCAAGAAAGGTGACTGCATACGTGTGTTGACGTCGACATGACTTAATGCTGCGAGGAAGGCTGAATGCATTCTAATCGAGTATGGTTGTTCTACTTATTAACCTCCTCAAGAACGTCCTGTGTGTAGCCAGGAGACGAGGCTTGGATTGCAGCTGTCTGGAGCAGCTGACGGTGGAGCTGGATCTTGGCATTTAGCACGTTGGCGCTGTGGACCCCTGGAGGTGCTTGAGGACCGCGCTCGATCCGCGAGAGTTGATGCTGTGTTTTCCTTTCAAGTACGTGAGTACGACAGCCTCGGCGCGCTTGTCCAGCTCGCGGTAGTCCGCTGACGTTTGGTTGAGCACGAAGCCGTCGTCGAGAAACCGCTTCATGTACGCGACTAGCAGCTTTGCCTTCGAGCGCTGCTGCGTCGGTGCTTTGACGTACCAACGTGGCTCTTACGCGTACCAGGTAAACCAAATCGCATGAAAATAGGTAGCTGATCCTCTACGCTGTTAGTGCTTGGGTTTGCTCACATATAAGGCGTCTTCATCTTAAGGGTACGCGTCCTTCCAAGCTCTCACGAACAAGCTTCTTCTGGATAGTGAGCACCAGAAGTAGCGGAAACAACGCAGAGCAAGCCACTACTGCCACGAAAGCCATAGCTCTATTTCGCACTCTAATTCTACCTGCACGAGCCAGCTATTACATTGTATCTTTAAGTGGTGTTTTATGTCAGCTTTAGTAATGTTTTTGTCAGCTTGAAGTCAACTTCAATGATGCATCCAATGAAATGATAGTGCAACATGAGAGCGCGACGAACTTGGAACTGAGAAAAGCAAATCACACTCGTCACAAGGTGGTACATTGCGGCGGTTCTGTCTCTCTCGTCGTAATACACGGTGCTCTTCTGCGGCTGGATTGCTTCTGCAGTAATACCGATGCTGGCGAATACGATTCGAAATGCTGTCAGTGTGCTCGCAAAATTGGCACACAAACAACGTGTTAGAAACCACATCAGGGAGCCATTTCTCACCATTAAAAAATAGGTAACAATGCAGTCTGTAGCTTGAAGTACTGAATGCAACCCCACTATGAAATAGATATCCGCGAAACACGATAGCATAACCGCGAGGTATGCTCAGAACCACTTCGTTTCGAATGCTCGGGTATTCGAAGCATCCCGTGAAAACGTGGAGGCTTCTATTTTCCTCCAAAGCCACAATAACACTCGCAGGAATAGTACCAGGAAACTTATTCTCGATTGAGGCCCGCACTTCAGCCGTGTAGTCTTGGTGTTAGCAGCTCCGCCAGGACAAGAGTGCATGTAGGAAAAGACGCAAGGTACGTACCTTGCATCGCGGACCAATGCGTCCTCTTGAATAGATTTAGCAGCAACACGCAGTGTGGAGGTCATGCGCACCACGCGCGACTGACTCCGAAATGGGTCATCACTAGCGCCGCCAACTTCTCGGAAAACAGGAGTGTATGTACGTGTTCTAGCTTCAGATAGTAAGGCGTCTATCGGTGTAGTCTCCAGATGAAGAGACACAATGGCGTAGCCAGAGGAAGGAAAGCTTGGCCGCATGCTGTCTCAGTAGCTCGAGTTTCTCTGATGGATATTTGTATAATATTGCCACTTTTTGTCGGCAACGGGCTTTCCATTTCTAAGCGTCGGCGACAGATAGTACTGTTTTTGGGCACACTCGTTTTTATGTTTATCGAGGGTTCCTCTTTTGGTTGGCGCGTGTTGACGCTGTTTCAAAACTGCCGTTCTGCAGCTTTCGCCCCGGCCTTGGTGAAGCGGTTGAAGGAGAAGCTGTTCTTGGCAGAGTTCCGGTCGCAGGTTGTGTACGCCGACTTCAGTACAATCATCGTGTGTACCACGTAAACAAACTGTTAGAAGAAGATCTGTAACCGAGTGTAACCACGGTTACGGTATAGTGGCATTTCGCCCGGCCGCTCTCCGGATGGGACTACTGCGGAATAAGGTGTGAGGATGAATGGCCAGAGGAAGAAGCAAGGTACGAGTAGAACGTAGTTAGCTTCCTCTCACTTCTCAATATACGACGGTTTCCTCACATCTACTAATAGGTTATGAGCTCAAGCAACGATACTGTCGCCGCGGAGTCAGCCCGCGGGCATCCGGACGCAGATGTCGGTCGCGAAAGGACCCGACAGCAGCAAGTACGGAGGTGACGACGAAGTCAAGGAGACGAAGGACCCACAGCAGAAGCTGGTGGATCTCCTCACCGGCCTCACAGAGCGCATGGAGCGCCTAGAGGAGTCGCAGAAGCGACAGGAGGAGCAGCAGCGGATCGTTGGAGGGGAGGTAAGTGTATTCGAGTCGGTCATAGGCCTAGGAAGGGCCATGGACCGAGAAGCACTGGATAGGACGCCAACAAGGAATTCCCCGGCAATGTCTCCAGCCACGTACTTCGGTGTGAAGCAGCGCGGCTACGGGTTCAAGAACGCAGCGGCTAACGTGGAGATGGCACAAGCTCCTCAGCCAGCGCTGCCACAGCATTACGTGCCCCCGCGCATGTACCAGGCGCACGTTCAGCCGCCAACCATGCCGCACGGCATGCCGGCTCCCGCTAAGGGTTTTCCTCGTGTGCCGGATACGCGCCAACGGAAGCTTGACATCCGTCACTTCGACGGCAAGGAGCTGTATCAAGGCCTCGGCAGTGGTTTTCTGTCTTGGGGCAAACGGTTCGTGCGTCAGATACTATTTACGGAACGCGCAAGTGGCTTCACGTGGACAGAGGAAGTAAAGGTGGATGTCCTCGGTCATCACCTTACCGGCATGGCTGAGAGATACTACAACCAGCAGGTTGAGGGGTGGTGGGAAGAGGAGCCGACGTTGGAGCACGCCATGCAGCGGTTGCTGCACACGTTCGCGACCAAGATAACGCCCGCCCAGAGCATGAAGATGTTTACAGCGCCAAAGAGCTCCAAGCGCAGCTGGACTGAACACTATCTCTACCTGGTGGCTGTGAGTGAGGCGTGTGGAGGCGCCGACAACCTCGTCTTGGACAACATCGTCCACTACGCGGACGCGTCGATGAGAGTGTCGATGCTGTCCAGACTGAACCTTGGCCGGACGGATTACCTGCGGCAAGCGGAGGAGCTGGCCCACTTTGCACAGTCCACGGAGATCGAGCTACGAGGTAAGAACCTGGGACGTGACGTTGTGAACAGCGTACACGATGATCGCATAGACGACAGGAAGCGTTTTAAATGCGGAAAGGTTGGGCACTTAAAGGCATTGTGCCCGAACAACAAACGAGGAGGGACTGAGCGAGGCGCCAGAGCGGATTTTGTCCTGGCAGTGGATAACTCAGTCAATGAAAAAGGTGTATGGATCCTCGACACTGGATCAAGTCGGCACCTCGTTAACGACGAGGACTTGCTTGAAGACCCAGAGGACTTCGAGAGCGAGTGTGTTGCTGCCGACGGAGGAGCTCTAAGGGTAACCAAGCGTGGCAGCATAGTGCTGGAAACCATGGCTATGGGAAAGAAAACTACGGTGCGACTACTGGATGTTCAGTACGCAGAGAACTTGGAACAGAACATTATCTCCTACGGAATGCTAGAGAAGAAAGGCTACAAGATTGACTACCGAGGACAACATCGTGTAGTTGCTGCAATGACTGGAGGACCAGCAGTGTTCGACGTAGAGAAAGTCAACAACGTGTTGGTGGTGCGCGCGCAAGTACAGGGGCGTGAAAGAAGCGCCGGCGACGTACTCATGTCGGTACTGGCGCCAAGCGAACAGAATGAGGAGGTAGGACAAGACGTACAGAGGGGCACGCTGATGCACTTTCACCGCCGCCTAGGACATCTCAACTACGATACTATCCTCAAGATGGCCAAGAATCCTGCGTCTGGAATCTTTCTCACGGATGAGAAGCGAGCGAACTGCTTGGCCTGCGCACAAGAAAAGCAAACGAAGAACAAACAGTCCAGGAAGGACACAGGAGCCAACGCACCTATCGACGTCATTGGCGGTGTTATATGCTCAGATCTCAAGGGACCAATGACGCCAAGAGACAGACTCGGCAACAGGTACATGGTGAACTTCGTCGATCACAGGACGAACTATTGCAGGATCTTCTTGGCACGGACGAAGGACGTTGCTGCTCAGAAGTTTAAACACTTCATGGCGTTCTTTGAGCACCAGTTTAACTGTCGTATCCATGTGCTGCGGACGGATGGAGGAGGTGAATACCAGACTCTAGATTTGTTTTGTAAAGAAACTGGCATTGCGCGGCAAGTAAGCGAGCCCAGGAATCAAGCCAGCAACGGAAAAGCAGAACGAATGCACCGCACCATTATGAACATGGTGAGAAGCATGGTGTTCGCGTGTGGTCTGCCACTCAGCTTCTGGGGAGACGCTGCAGAGTACGCGGCGTACATACTGAATAGAAGCCCGAGTAAGGCAAACCCCGGGTCCAAGTCGCCGTTGCAGATGCTCACGAAGAGCACCCCCGACCTCAGCGACATCGTGGTGTTTGGTTCTCCGTGCACGGTACACACAGACCCTAAGAACAAGTCGCTAGGAAAACGCGGTAAAGCTGCGATAATCGTTGGTAAAAGCGATGAGATGAAGGGGTACAGAGTCTACATCCCTAAGGACAAAGTGGTCGTGGTGACCCAGCACGTACGGAATGTGGAGACGCTCTCGGACGTACAGAACGAGCAGCTGAGGCGCGTACACCTCGAGGAGTCGGAAGAGACAAACGAGGAAGACGCAATGCGAATGCTGCCCAGTACGGGAGCGGGATCGAAAGGGAAAAAGAAAGCCAAAAGGGAAGTCCAAGGGCGGTTGGACGCGGGAAAGGCATCGGACGAGGTCGACTACTCAAAAGGCTGCTGGAGCAGGAACGACTAGTGACGATAATAGTCAGGATGGGGCGATACACGACGTGGTAAATAGCGTGCGTGAGGCGGACCCCAAGAACTATGGACAAGCAATGAAGAGTGGGCTCAAGGACGCGTGGGTAATTGCTATGGTAGAAGAGCTGCGAGCTCTTGAAGAGAACGGAGTGTGGACAGTCGAGGTGCCGCCAACTGGCAGCCACGTACCGCACACTAAATGTTAAGACCAAGACGGGCGCCGACGGCGCCATCGAGCGGTTCAAAGCTCGGTTGGTTGCTTGCGAAAACGAACAGCTCTTTGGCATTGATTACAACCTCACGTTTGCGGCGGTAATGGAGCTGAGCACCGTAAAGATAGTGCTGGTGTTTGCTCGGCGCTGGCGTGTGCCTGCCCGACACGGGGACATACCAAACGCGTACGTCAAGGCGGACAAAGAGCAACATTTGGAGATTTATTTGGCTATACCAAAGGGCATGCAAATATCTGAGGCGGTGCTACGCGCTCTCGGCGTGGACACCAGCAGCAAGCTGGTGCTGCGGCTCAAGAAGTCGCTGTATGGTTTGAAGCAAGCGGGGCGCTTGTGGAGCAAGCTACTACACGCTAAGTTAGAGGAGATCGGTTTCACTAGGTGCGTTACCGACATGTGCTTGTACTACAAGAAGCACGGCAGCGACATGACTCTGGTAGGAGTGTATGTGGATGACCTTCTAGTGACGGCCTCCAAACCAGAGCTAGTCGAAGATTTTTTTCAAGCGATGAGTGTTTTATCCATTAAGGATCTGGGTGTGGTACGAAAGTTCTTGGGCATGCGTGTAGAGCTTCATGAATCGGACGGTTACTCGTTGGATCAGCAAGCTGCGATTGAAGAGCTACTGGAGCAGTACGGGCTCGCGGACGCAAACGGAGTACGCGCACCAATCGGAGAAGAATGTAACGAAGCCGAACAAGGAGCACCGCAGCTGTTGATGCAGTCAGGAGGGCGCGGAGATCCAACAGTACGAAGTTTCCAGTCTCTCGTCGGCAGCCTGCTATGGATAGCTCGCTGCACGAGACCAGACATTAGCTTTGCGGTCCACAAGGCCACGAGACGCACCCATCAGCCTACCGTAAACGACTGGAAGCTCGCGAAGCGGATCGCTAGGTACTTGAAGCAGACAAAGGAACTAAAGGTCAAAATGCGAGTAGACGCAGCCAGTGGAAGACAGATCTGTCTGGAAAGCTGGAGTGATGCGGATTTCGCGGCAGATAAGGCCAACAGGAAGTCGGTGACCGGCGGATTTATCACTCTCGACGGGGCCATCGTGCAGTGGATATGTAAGAAACAGACTGGAGTGTCTCTATCCACGATGGAAGCAGAATTTACGTCAGCATCAAATGTCGGACGTGAGCTGTTTGCGGTGGTAGAGCCAATGACCATGTATATGGACAACCAGGCCGCTATCAGGCAGCTAGAGACCGAAGACAGTATGTCCAGTGCAAAGCACGTAGACATCCGAGTCAAGTTCATCTGCGATTTTGCACGGCGAGGTGTGATCAAACCAGGATATGTGGAGTCACGACTAATGAAGGCCGACCTTCTCACGAAGGCGCTTCCGGCAGCCAGATTGGACGAGCTTCGGAGGATTTTCATGTTGGAGTAGTAGCTCGAGCGCGACGAGCGAGGAGGAGTGTTAGAAGAAGATCTGTAACCGAGTGTAACCACGGTTACGGTATAGTGGCATTTCGCCCGGCCGCTCTCCGGATGGGACTACTGCGGAATAAGGTGTGAGGATGAATGGCCAGAGGAAGAAGCAAGGTACGAGTAGAACGTAGTTAGCTTCCTCTCACTTCTCAATATACGACGGTTTCCTCACATCTACTAATACAAACTTGGTGCGAGACGCCCAGACCTTCATCCTGCAGCTTGTTGTTTTGTTCACAGCTCATAGCAAAACACCATGAGTGTGTGCGGATCAACACTGTGTCTAGTGTTGTCACTGATTGGACGCTGTCTACAGCTACAACCCCGTGGTGTTTGCCCAGTGCACTAACGTGACCGGCGGCGTGTGCTGTTTCGACTGTGGCAGCATGGGCGACCCGTCGTACGGCGACACGATCTCGTACGGAGTGACGGCCGTGTCAAGGCGGGGACGTACCTTCCTTCACTTAGAGTGGCGTTGAAAACGTTACGTTCATCACCGGGCAAACGAAGACCGTGACGAGGGTCCGTTAGCGCTGAAGATTGCTCAACCGAAACGCTTATAAAGCTTGCGAGCAGCACCTACCTTTTCAAACGGTGGCACCAACGTCAGTGATGAGTCGGGAACCAGCTTTTCTAGCAGTGACAAGGCTACCACTGGGGCTGGCAACATCGACGTTGTGGCGGTTTCCATGATCATGATGTAGCTGAACACGTACACAGCGTACATTCAGTGTATCTGTTTTTGTTAGAAATTGTTGTCTGCATCTAAAGAAATGCCGGTACATTCAGGCAGCTACCGTGGCAGTAGTAACTGCGTCGTAGTCTACAAATTTGAGTATGGTGTCGAACCGTATGCCCTTCCATTCATTAGAAGTTAAATGCGAACTGCACCATTTTGCTCTCCACTGCAGACGTTTAGCTTAAGCGTAGGTACTTAGCAGTTATTTTATCGCGCAAAAGGTGAAATTAAAAGTGAATTTTTAGAAGGAAAATAACTGGACTTGGTCGCTGCCGTAGGCTTGGCCCTGAGCTTGGTAGCTGGACCGTCGCCACTTCACTGTCGTCCGCGATATGATGCTCTCATCTCCAACATTTGAGCTTCAGAAGGCGATAAAGTTTCTCCTGTTTTTCTTTATCTGACTGACGGCGTCTTTTGTGATTCCGTAGTCAGCTGCAATAGCTTTTCCGGGCGCTCCGTTGCCAGGGCGGTCCAGAATCGCGAGCTTGTTCTCCAGGCTGACGTTGCGGATCTTCTTGCTAACCTTTGCTCTTGTCGTTGGTGGGATACGGGTCACCGTCAGGTCGCCGCCACTCGAGCTGTATTCCAAGATCCTGGCTCGATCCCGCTTGATGCACCCCACGACGGTTTTGCGGACAGTAAACTGCGTCGTCACCTCCGTGGTGGTAGCGCCTTTGTCGGGCATCTCCAGAATGTCGATCTTTTTCCTTACCGATATGTTGTGACGAGGTTGCAGCGGCTTCGCTGTCGTCTCAGACAGGCAGACCGTAGCGAGGAGCTGCTCTTCCTCTGAGGCACTGGTGACGTAGCTCAACATCCGGTCGCGATTGTGCGTGATGTTTATCACAGACCTGGCCGCTCTAAGGCCAAAACCTGTCGCTATAGTTTTGGTATTATCCCCCGCGTCGAGTCTAGCGAGGATGGTTAGCCTGTCAACCATCGACATTCTCTTGTTCCTTGGTCTAGCCTCTGTAAGAGTTGTGATGGTTCCCGATTAGAACTGGGCACGGTGCAGCGTGAGCGGAGAGGGCGAGAGAAACGGCGAGCAAGGGGCACGTTGCGACGTCGGCGTCGGGGAAGAGAGTCAATCCTTGTTCTTCCGGCGTCTTCACACGGACCAAGCGAAGAAAAAAGACACAAGCGGCATCTATAGAGATGTTCCGCTTCTTGATCATCGACAGGTTCGAAGCTCGCCCGAACAGGTACCAGAGCAGCCACAGTGGAACATCATCGTGGTAGTCTCTCTCAGAACATGCATTGACATACCATTTTTTCAGGTAAGCCTTTGTACATGGTGGAGCCTTTGCTACAGCCACCACCATCCCTTTTCAGAAAAGGTTATCGAGAGTTATTCCCATTTTAAGCAGCCGCAATTCTAGCGAAGATCGTTGCTAACGAAATTGCTCTAGGAGCCAAATTTTGGTTTGGCGATAGTACTGCATTGCAGCATTTCGAACCAGCAATTTACCCTTCTTTCCTTCACTAAACACAATATACATTCCAAACTTATCCATGACGCACCCAAAGCTCTTGCCACCCTCATCCGCCTCAATATTTTTCCTTACGTATTCCTCCTTAACATCCTCACAATTTAAAAACTTGGAAAATGCTGCGACAGCAGCTGCCTTAGCCCCCCATGTATTACTAGGTTGCAATTTCTCTAAACCAACCGCGAAGGCCCAATAAATAGGAATATGAAAGGGAAAAGTCTACTACTTGACAACTGAATGAGCGTACACATACTTTAGAGTTTTATCGGACTTGAAACGTTCGATCGGGTGGCTTGAATGACCCACCTAGACCTACTACATCCGATTGGTTAATATCATGATATGGATTAACTGTGATTGGCTGGTCATATTTGCTGGCAGATAATCGGCAGTATACCCATACAAAACTCAAATATGGTTTGACTAGCTATCATATTCATCAATTAAAAAAGTGAATTTTAAGACCAAAAAAATTGAATAAACGCTGCTCATAGACCTTCTTACCGTCTTTTTATCGTAGACATCCAATCATTACATATATTAAAAAGCAGCTCAAAAAGGGAGAGATAATTGCATGAATTCGATTATTTCTGGCTTAAGTACGCTTTTTCGTCTCGTCTACACGCATCATATATTATACATTTTGTTTTAGGTAAATCAGGTGGCCTTATCTTTTTGGACGTACTTAAGTGCGACCTGGCCATATATTTCCGATCAGAGGAAGAAAATAAATGCAGCGTGCGTGCATCCATCATGCGAATAGCCTCGCCGGCGAGGCGCTTTTCGTGGAAGCGCTGCAGCAGCGGCTGAGGAGGACATTGGATGATATTTCATGTATTGGTGAATGAACTTTTACAAATGCTTAAGTATCCCTCAAAATTACATTGACTTTCATGGTGCTACAGACGATCCTCTCTGTTCGATAACCCCCCATAGTAATTCCCTCCAAATAAAGCGGTTGAGAGGGTCCGCCTTGTAAGTTACAAGCTTAAGATAAACCGACTTTTGTCCTCTCATTAGTGAATATTCAGCGGTAGATTGGGTCTATTTAGTCAAGGTGGATTAAAGAATTATAACAGTGACATCTGCTGTTTGCTCCTTGAAAGAGAGGTTGTAAGCATCCGTAATGCATGTAAGTGCACAAAAGCATTTTTTATATTAAATATTAAAAATGCTTTACTATTAATAATTTTGTTCTTGCCAGCCAGCCGACCCAATTTGTGAGCTCTGAGTCAAAGGAGTCGTATGTACCTTATATTGGTTACAACACCTTAACGTGATTCCTCTATATAATATTAAAATGCGGCTTTCCGACGCTATCAATACAGAAAGGATCGTCTGTACTGTACCCGTCAGCTGACAATGGAGACTCCACCATCAACAGTTGATTCAACTTGATTACCGGTACAGTATCAAGGCAGCTTGCAGAATCTGCAATCTGCAATGCAGATTGCTCTTCATCTCTTGCTGTTTGGATGCCAGCCCTGCTGGCCCAGCTGTGGATGTACAGAGCAGTACAGTACATGTACAGATGCTTGGACATTTCTGTTGAGCTTCACAGGGATGTTGGAGTCTCCTTACAGAACATCCGGGCTCTTAGTTTACATCAATAATCTGTGTTTTACCGGTACCGGCTCTGTAAATCACAGTACAGTGTAATATCAATAATTGTGTCAAAATTTCCAAGCTGGCCGACTGGAGTTTCGCTCGGCGGCTTTGTATTTGTAGTATTTTCACCTTAAGCACAATTCCATGTGGCAAGTGACAGCTGTACTATCGCTGGCGCGGCTCTCAAATTACTGAAACTTTGTAAGAGAGCAACTCCAAACGGCAGAAATTACGGTACAAATGACTACAGCTATCACTATTTAGAGTTATCGCTATCCACATGTGTACAATGTTATGGTACATTTTGAGCTTTAGCATATCGGTGGCTTTGGAGATTCACGCTACTCTTCGAGTATCCTTCTCTTAAAATTAAAAAAAAAGCGGATATAATGGGAATGTTGTCGAGCTCCGCGCGTGACCTTCGTGCGAAGCAAACTGCTTTTAGGGACGAGCTTGTGAAGACGAAAACAGAAATTGCAGCTGTTTATTTACCAACGGCCTATGTGCTTAGTTAACGAGTTTCATCATATCACTGTTGAGACAGCTCTTATTATGCAATTTTGAGGGTATCACAAACCAGAATCCGTTATGGACGTTCAGTATTAAAGCAAGTTCTTCAGTAGTAGGAGAATTTAAAACAGCTTCTGAAGTCGTACTTAGCGAGGGCACAAGTACTAAAGAATGTATGGCTGATTGAACACCGCCCAATAGATGATTGGTGCTACAACGGGAGCGAAAATAAATGGTTGGTCTTCCTCACCTGAAAGCCTCCAATAGATAATTGCTGCTTTCTTATTGCAATAATTGCGGCACCAATTTATTTTTCGGCAGGACGGTACCGAAGTTAGCGAGCATCATCAGGATAATCATCTTGATACTGCGGTTAGGAGCGTCCGTGTCGATCGTCGCGAGCTGCCCGGGGGTGCGCTCAGCAGTGTCCAGGTCAGCAATGATTTGATCGCCGTTGTACGGATCACCAAGAGGTAACACCATGAGGAAGCACGAGCGAAACGTCATTCCCCATCCGATCACGATGTACGGACGACGACGGTTGCCGAAAATCGGAACTGTGTCCGCTAGCATATCGGTGAGCACACGTAGACTGCGAAGGAGCTGAATGAGTGCAACCACGCCGAGCGACGCGGTGCAATCTACTGCTACATGTAATCAATGTGCTATCTAGTAGATCTGCCTAGCTTAGGAATACCGACCTAATATAGAAGAAGCTGGGAAGGCTGGCCGATGGCTAACATCAGTGTTTTTGTAAGCTGCTGTTATTAATTCCAATACATTTGTAACCAGTTGGGAGCTTTGGTCAACTTCCTATTTTAGGATTCTGAGGTCATTAAAGCGGCATGAAGTAGTGATATCAGATCCGCCTTCAACTTGAAGACGTTCTTGCTTTGTCCGCGCGCGCTTCAACATGACAGATACAGCTACCCCCAGCTTCGTCGTCTCGAGCAGCCATTACGCTCGACAACCTACAGGAATGGAATTGTGTGGGTCCAAGTCAGTGAGCTGACGGAAATCGTCAAGAACGCCACCAAGTGCAACCCCCAAGGATCCAAGTTCACCAACCTGAAGAGTGTAGTTGAAGTCTTCTTTGGTGGCAGGTGGTTCAAGAACGGCATCGAGCACAGCGGTGGCGCAATCCCAAACGGCGCAGTGGTTCGACTCAAGGACGGCATGCTGACTGATAAGATGCTGATCAAGGCACTCGAGAGTCATTACACAAGATGGAGCACGGCTATTCAAGACGTGCTTCGACACGACAAACAAGATATACTCAAGGCGCTTACGAGTGGCACTCCACGTCCCCATATTTCGCTTCGGCTCAAGTGACACCCACTTCACAGTCTCGGGCCATTGGATCCCCTCTCCTACCCCCACGAGGTCGCCGATTACCCCCAGAACCCTCTTGCGTGGGTGGGCACCCGCCGAGGGAACTACCTGGTCTCCGTTTGCTTCCGATTCGCGTTTGATGGCACGGTGGCCTGGCTAGAAATTTTCGAGTTCGGTGCCGCTATTGGTCGTCCGTTTAGCTCCCGAATTCCTGACGTTCTTAAATCCTACTGCAAGTACGGAGGAACTCCTGAGTGTCGAGCGGTCGTGCACCACGACGACTCAAGGGCAGACGAGACTACGTTTTGTCTCAAGGCAACGGAGTTAGGGATGATACTTCCCTTCTACGACGGCCAAGACATAGAAAGGAGGGAGTTGCTTTGCATCTCGCCCTCCCAAGTTCTTCTAGTTAGGGACACGTTGCAAGCAGCATTTCTGAAACATTCTCCTGGTGGCGGGAAGTGACCGATATGGGTCACATCACGGCCAGCTCGCCTCCGGCAGGGCATCAGGTTCACCGGATGCCCACGTTCGGCAAGGCCACTGTCTCGAAGACGTACGTTTTCCAAAATACACCAGGGACACAAGTGGACAAGATGCCGCTGGATGTGGACGCGTACGTCGACGCATTTGGCACGAGTCACGGCAAGGCTGCGCTCGAGGATCACGTCTCTAAACTGGACGACACGACCCTGAAGCTGGCATGCCTGCGTCGAGGTGCTATGCTCGACAACAAGGAGCTACGGCGCGATTTCGTCGACGCGCTGTGGCGTAGCTTCCTCGTACGTGTATAAGGAGCTACGGCTACGGCGCAAACGAAAGTTCGCCGACAGGGTTGAGGACAACAAACTGCAGATCGAGATGCTGATCGGCGGCCAGCAGACCACGTTCAACATCGTCCTCACGCTGCAGCAAATTTTTGAGGAGAGGATGGCCGTCGACAAGTGGTGTTACCAGCGGCACTTCGACAGCCTCGAGTCTCAGCTGAGCGCATACATGGCCAAACCGGCGTGCGAATTAGCCGTCTCGAATCAGCAGCTTTCCCCGTCAGATAAAGTAGAGACGGCGTGTTCAATGGTGCGTGAAGCGATCAAGAATAATCGGCTTATTTTCGAGCAGACATGTGCCGAGAATGTGGAGCTGTTCAAGAGAACTATGCATGGCTGCTTGGAGCTGCACAAGGACGAGCCCTATGACTTCAGAGCTAAGGCCGAGCAGGTGTTGAATGATTCACGCGCCAACTTTAATCAAGAGCTCAAGCGAGAAGTGGGCACAAGTTCCAGCTTACAGAGCTACTCTTTGAAAGTTCAGCGAGCTGGAGCAGATCTACCTCGCTGTACAGTCAGTTGAAGTGCCGTTCACATATACCACCAAGTCGAGATCAACCAAGCTCAACTCATGCAGATGCAGAGCATCCTGCAAGAGAATCGCTAGCCGTTGATCGACTGAACGGGACCGTCAACCCGTTGTTGTAGACTATCAACAACCAGCATCACCAGCTCAACAAGCTCGAGCGACAATTTCAGCGCCAGCCCATGTTAGAGCGTCCGCAAACCTCTACATCGTCGCGTCAGAAAACCAAGGTGCAAGTCCAAGAAACCGGAGAAGGAAGCACCAGGTACGCGTCCTTCCAAGTTCTCGCGAACAAGCTTCTTCTGGATAGTGAGCACCAGAAAGTAGCAGAAACAACGCAGGGCTAGCCACTACTGCCACGAAAGCCATAGCTCTATTTCGCACGTTAATTCTACCTGCACGAGCCAGCTATTACATTGTATCTTTAAGTTTTGTTTTATGTCAACTTTTATTAATGTTTTTTGTCAGCTTGAAGTCAACTTCAATTATGCATCCAATGAAATGATAGTCCAATATTACATCTGTTTAAATTATAAAGCCAACTTCGAATATGCATCCAATGAAATGATATTCATTTTTATAACCCAAAATGAAAATCTACCTGTGAATAGTTGCAACATGAGAGCGCGACGAACTTGGAACTGAGAAAAGCATATCACACTCGTCACAAGGTGGTACATTGCGGCGTTTCTGTCTCTCTCGTCGTAATACACGGTGCTCTTCTGCGACTGGATTGCTTCTGCAGTAATACCGATGCTGGCGAATACGATTCGAAATGCTGTCAGTGTGCTCGCAAAATTGGCACACAAACAACGTGTTAGAAACCACATCACGGACCCATTTCTCACCATTGAAAAATAGGTAACAATGAAGTACTGAATGCAACTCCACTGTGAAATAGATCTCCACGAAACGCGATATATAACCGCGAGGTATGCTCAGAGCCACTTCGTTTCGAATGCTCGGGTATTCGAAGCATCCCGTGAAAACGTGGAGGCTTCTATTTCCCTCCAAAGCCACAATAACACTCGCAGAAATAGTACCAGGAAACTTATTCTCGATTGAAGCCCGAACTTATGCCGTGTAGGCTTGGTGTGCCTCTTGAGCAGCTCCGCCAGGACGAGAGTGCATGTAGGAAAACACGCAAGGTACGTACCTTTCATCGCGGACCAATGCGTCTCACGAATTGCCCTTTCGGCTCATTGTGCAGTGGAATTTGGCTCGCGGTGAGCTCCAAGTGAAGAACGGCAGTTACTCACACAACCACATGGTTTCTGTCATTGCGTATGCTACGTATCCCACGTCTAGGGGCATCGCAGATCCATTGGTTGGTGCCCATGTGGACGATATGCTAGCAGTTGGTGCAAAGCGCTCGCGCATCTACGACTACCTTCTAGATCACGATGAAAACGTCATCCAGTCCGACATTGACAACTTAGTGCGCAGCCACTCATTGGACGACAACGACGCCACCGCTCGGGAAATCGCGCTTTTCGCAGCGGCAGATCCAGAGAATTTGTCCTCCGTGGCTGAAACGGATGCAGGAGAAAGCGGAGTGATCTCTATTGCTACCGCTTACATGAGACACGTGTATTAGCGACTTACCGAGCTTCTTTTGGTCTACTGCAGCCACAAGACAAACAGGTCAGTTTTCGAAGTTTACATGATTAATCCAGGATTCTTACAGGATTAAACACGATTTTGTTTCTTTAGATACAACTATCAGTTGCTGACGTTCATGGTGATAAATTAGTTTGGAGAAGTAGCCGTGATGTAACAATCTTTGATCGAGGCGAACGGGGACTGGCACATGGAGCGATTCATCTCTCATTTCAAGCGACTGCATCCTACACGTTTACAGTCGCTACGTGTTATTATCGTGGACAAGGACCTCAACGAGATTCAAGCTCTAGAGGCCAACTTTCCCGACGCTTGCGTCTTGATTTGTCACTTTCACGTGAAAAAGTATTTAAAAGAGATGCGTGCTAAGCCCGAGTTCGGAAAGTTGTTACGCAGATGAAGGAGCAAGTCAAAGTTCAATTTAAGACAATAATGATGACGTGAAACGAAAATTTGGGATAAATAGCAGTGAAGACGAGGACATTGACGACGATGATGAAGAGAAGAACGTATCATTTGGAGGAAATAATGGAGTTGCGACAGAGCTGAACCTGAAAGTCAAAAACGTTGGAGCACCCAGAAAATTGAAGAAGAAGGTGCTTGCAGATAAAACCCCCGACCGGAAGTGGTATGAAGCGGCGGAAGAAGGCAGAAAAAAAGCTGGTGAAGTTACGCTGACGGTGCTGTGTAACGCTCTCGATTGAGAGCAGTCTGGCCTAGTAGAAATGGAGAGGCGCTTATCTGGTGCTCTTGTCAAGTATAGAGACTTTGAAAAAAAGAAGCCAAAAATCAAAGTTTTGAAGAATCCAGTAGTGATCCAGGATCCATTCTCTATTCTTCCCGCAAATCTTCTAGATGCATGTGCGAAGCTACTTCCTGTTGGCAACACCGCGGCTGGTGCAATATCTATTGACGACTCTCAACAAAGTCAGTCTCAAGGTTTTTCTCGCACTGAAGATCAAGGTAAAGTAGAGACCTTGATCATTAAAGACGTGGGTAACTTCTCACGTAAGCAGATCGAGACTTTTATGGGAGTCCAAAATATAAAGACTCAGGTCCAGCTTGGTCTAGACATGCACAAGTGGCTTAAGCAGGATGGACTACCAGCACTACCTGCCGAATACCACGATCTAGCGATCAAAGCGGCTGAAGACGTGGTTAAGGCCTACCCGCATAAACGCAGAGAGACTCTCCCTAACTACCTGGACTTCCAGTACGCGATGCTGTATCGAGCGGCACCCCAGTTTGGCTAAAATATGCTACGATAAGAGCGCTGTGCTTGAGACTCTGCGGAGACTACCCTACGTACAGATTCGCCGGAGTTCCAGTCCGCCACAACGAGGTCCAAACGTACGCGATATCGAGACGTTCAAATTGTAGACGCTGCTATACGCGATCTGGCTCTCCATCAAGCGGGCGAACAATCTGTGGAGACGCTTTTGGCTGCCCTTGAACTTCATGAACTTCTAGTGGTGCTGCGTTTCGGTAATGGTGAGTCAAAAACGGATTTCTTACTATGATCCACTAAATCAAGGCCCCTACATGAATGTTGCCAAGGCTGTGGCGGCCCACCTCAAATTAGCTGGGCTGCAAGGGTACGATGTTATTTCGCAGAACAACCCATTGTAGTTTGATCCGTTCAGCTGCGGAGTCTATGTGTGCTGGATGTTCATTCGACAAGTGTGTAAGAGTGTACATCCGGACATAAGCAAGACTGCGCTTACTCGCCGACGATTCGAATTGTTCTACTACCTACTCACGGCCCGTCTACTCCCTGTGGAAGCCTCTACTTCGATGCCGTATGCTGAAGATGATGGTACGGAGGAGAAATTGCCACCTCCGCGCAGCGACGACAAGAGTGATGGCGACGAAGAACTTCTTCCAGCTCAAGTGGAGTAGTAGGTCGGCGGGCCGTATTGTGCTGAAACTTTGGAAGCGTACAGAAGTTTAACAGCTACTAATACAGGTTTCTTCATCTTCATAAAGGTTGTTTCTTCTTTGTTTCACCTCCTCCAGATATAAGATCT